CATCTCGGTGTCGTTGTAGGGGACCAAGACGCCCACGGCCAGGGAACCGAGAACGAAGAAGGCTGTTAGGCGATAGAAGACGGCGTTGAAGGCGCGCGGCATAATCACGCGCGGGTTCTCGGCCTCGCCCGCCGCCATGGACACATACTCGGGCCCAGCAATGGTGAAGGAAGCCTGGATCAGGCATTGCAGAAATCCCAGCCACCGGCCTAGGTTGCCTTTATGGTACAGTTCGGCAAATGCGCCAGGGTTACTCCAATACCTGAATCCAAAGCGGTCGTGCAAGGGGTTGCCGCCAAGCATGACGATGAAGGTGAATATTAGGAGACCGACGATGAGGACAAACTTGCCCAGTGCGGCCCAAAACTCACTCTCGCCGTACCATTGCACAGCAAGAAGATTGATAAGTCTGAAAGAAGATGACAGGTGTTAGCGAGGTCCAAGTCTGCCAATGAAGAGGGCAGAACGGCAGTGTATCTCTCTAACTCACGCAAACATGATAATAATGATTGCTATGATGGCGCCGACCGGAACAGCATCACTCCAGTAGTGAATGATGACGTTGCACGCCGTAATTTCGAAGGGCACCATGGCCGCCTCAAACACGAAGAAGTTCCATCCCGTGGCGAAACCAAAGGCTTCGTCGACATAGCGGCCCGCGAACCGGACGAAGGGCGATGATATGGGCAGATACGTCACCATCTCCGCCATGGACGTGGTGATGGCAAGGATAAAAGAGCACCTGGGTGATTGGTGTCAGCACGTTGACCCGCTCGTGAACAGCAGCCAAGTCCTGCCACTTACCATATTGTAAACGCAAGGAACAAGCTTCCCGGACCCCCATTGAGGATGCCCCGGCCAATTTGCACATATAAGGCCGTACCAATGGTGCCTCCGATGCCTTTAAAGAGGGTTTTATTAGCACCTTTGGTGGCCTCACGGGGGAAAAGTGTTCTCAGAGTATGTGGGACTGGAGCTTTGAGACATACCAATCAGTTGGATATGGCGAGATTTCAGGGAGCGATGAGTCTTGTCTCCGGGGGCGCCACTTGAGAGAGAGAGGACCTCGGAGGTCAAGTCCCCGGCTGCCGGCTGCTTCTCGCCATCGCCGACAAAACGTACACCCGATTCTCCCGCTCCTCTCTTGAGGGACGAGTTGGGCGCCTGAGCCTCGACGTCATTCCCCGTCGACACCATTTTGTGTCAAAGGGGAAGGATATAACAAAGCCCCTCGGCCCCAAATTTAGATCAGATGGTGAGGGTGTAAGTGTAAACGAATGTAGCACGTGTGGCTAAAAACCCTCAGTATATCTGTTTGAGAAGTAAAGAGAAGAATTCGACGACGAAGCGCATTTGGATGGGTTGTTAGTAAATTGCCGGGCCAGTTATTATGGTTCGCAGATACCGACGCGTTGATAGGTTTGTTCATTACAAGAAACAAGTTCTGGCTCCAATCAGTGTTTTGATCAGTGTTTTGAACAGTTAAATAATTCCTGGTCCCAAAAAATCCGAAGTCTCCTGTCGATATAGCTTTTGCCCTAACCAAACTTTTTTGCGGTGTGGCCGTGGATTTGGTTAAGTGCCTTAGTCTAAGCAGGTGGCAGGTGAATGAAGCAAGGGATGATAAGCACATCACTCAGTTTGCGGCTTCCAAGCTCGGTTTCGACTAAAGAAATTGCAGAAAAGGAGAGAGTTCCGAAGCAAAATGGGCGCAAAGTGGGTTCCGCCACGGCCTTAGCTTCCTCTTATGGTCGAGCAAATACATCTTGGCTGTCTTCTTACGTTGTGTGTGTGGGTTTGCCTGAACCGAAGGACATTAAAACTCTCCCTCTCCCTTTACCCAACATTGAGATGGATCTCAGTGAGCAATGACGGCAAGTTTACAGCCCGAGCCAGGCGCCCCCGCTGGAGTCCGGCAACAGATGTGGGCCTTTCTTGTGGGTTGTCTCCGCTTGGTGGTGATGTTCTGGGCCCACGGCATTTAGGTCCTACCCAACGGGGGCGAGTCCCAAACTTTGTTTTGCTCTTGGCGGCAGGAGCCGTCTGGCATCTTGGGCCACACCTAGGTCGCATTCTTGACCGCCTCGTAGCATGGCCAAAGTAAGGTACCGAACTTGAATATAAACGGTGGGCTGAGGCAGGTATCATTCCATGCTTCCTGGGTTTTCTAGGCATGCGAGTTCAAAACATTTTGAAACCAACAGCTGAGGGCAGGGCTCAAAGAGAACGGGATAAAATGGGGGGGAGGGAACGAAAGAGCGATGTTGAAGAGCAAGTTCAGACAGTCTTAATAAAACAAGAAATTGCAAAACAATACCCAAGGTATTGGAAGGTAAGCACCGTGACGTAAATTAAGGGACGTACCCGACCAAGGTCTACTACTAATGGGAACACAACCCAGGTAGTTCCTGCCTTCTACACGGGGCTGGATTGAACAAAGAACACTGTCAAGGCGCCAAGGGGAAGGCACGAGCTGTTTCTTCTATGGATTCTTTGCAAGTTGGAAGTGAGGCGAGAAAGCCAGTACAAACTGCACTGTTATTCTTTATTTCTCCAACCCAACTTATCCGTGCCGGAATCCGATATCCAATATTTAAAACGGCAAAAACGCCAGCCATACGAAGTATACCGGAACACAGCCATTTGACCTAAAGACGCAGACTTGCCCGATTGGACCGGTTTGACGTCTAGCAACATAACGTACCCCCTTTATGTTCTCGTCCTCGCTCCCACGCTCAACGACGACGTCGAGGATCAATATACAGTTAGACGGCTAGTCCAGCCGCTAGCTACTACGTTAGCAATGTGCACCGGATACTCGATCCAGATGGTCTGCGGACATACCCTCATGCATTTCGCGACGCGCTGCCTCACGAAATGCGCTGCCCCAGATGGGCCCGTCGGTTTCATCCACGACACGTGTGCACAATGTCACCCTGATTTTGTCATAAAAAATCTTCGCGAGCGGTACTATACTGAACGCGAAAGGATCATGGCACGCTACCGTCACGCTGTCAGCTACAATCTCGGCGACGAAGCCAAAAGGTTGACCAAGGTTCTCGGGGACCTGGAGGATACTTGCAGAAAGGATATTGCCGCTGCAAAGTTCTTTGGTGAAGGCCTCCAACCGGACGAGGTTATCTTCCCTGGAAAGCTTGAGCAAGAGTAAGGCGTCTCCAGCGCCCGTATATTCCTCCAACCTTTGCATGCAAGTGCTGAAATCTCCGGGCTCGATATTCTACTAATGATGAATGTAAATAATAAACAGTTTACCTACCTCCCCTGTCTCTTTAACCCCAATGCTTCACACTATGACTACCTACCTAAATATTCTGATAATAGAGATATTTCCTCTTTACCTTCCTTGATAGCCCCTGACAACTCACACTAACATGGAAGACGGCGAGACCCCATATTTATGCTACCCGGGTGATATACACTATAAGACTGCCGCAGTACTCTCATCTCTTCTCATCCTACTGCTGGTGCTGCTTCTTTTCCAGCGGCACATTCTTCCAACCCTCCCCCTGGCCCCCCAGAAACCCCCAATAGTCCTCAGAGAGAGACAAACCCGGTTAGCTGACAGGTTGCTGCTTGTACCAGTCCCCGAAATACCCTAAACGACGTCGAGCGGCACTTTCAAATCGGCGAATTGCAGGAGAGCATGCCGAAATTGAAGACAGCCTCTGAAGAAGTTTAAACCTCCACGCGTTCTCAGGCATTCCGAATCCCACCGCCACGTCTCGTTGCATCCATGGGAAAGACGTCGTGGCCTGGTTTTCCATCCAGCTGTACCATCCTGACACGCACGGAGCCGGCGACGGTTTTGCTGTCGAGTCAGATTTACCTCCGCCCCTAACTTCTCGGGTTGGCACGGAAACATTCGGATTTGACGTTTGGGTCGGAGGTTATCGCCTAATCTGCTGGCATGGATACATACTCCTTTGGCTGTTGCGGCAAGTTATTTTGCGATTTGAACCCTAGCTCAGGGGCAGCGGCGGGCATGCCGCTGTTCGGTTGTAGTTAAGCCGCAACGAGTCTTTGTATTCCCAGCATTTGTCCTGTATCTTCCTAGTTCTGTGTTGTGTTTGTGTTAGCGAGGACAGTATTGCTATCGCTGGTAAACTTCCTCTTTTTGCAGTTATATTCGAGAAAGCGTGTTGTTGAACTGTCGCGCCCGTGACCTCTGGTGCCTGAATGTGAGGAGACTGTTACGGGTTTTGTGGGTATGCCCTAAAGTGAAACTGCTGTTGTTGCTGAGAATTTAAGGACTGATGGCGGTTCTGTTGCTGAGCCCCTTGTTGTGAACGCTTATTGAGATGCGGGAGACATCGTAACTTGAGATGGTATCCTGTGATATCTAGGTCAGTATCTGAAAAGAACCGACGGGGAGTGGAGAAGTAGATAATTATGAGCGATGTAACTCCTTATGTGACATTCATATCCCGCTGGTGTCTTACCGTCAACGGAGGGGTATGAACGTAGTTCGTCACCAATGAAATAAAAGTAAATAAATCAACTCTCTATCTATTTTAACAACCTCTTCTCAAAGAATAAATTAATTCCAAAAAGACAGTCCTCGATTCTTCACGAAAGTGCAAGTCACAAACCTACACACACATAACAGAACCACATCGATTGTCTGAGACTCTGAGGAGCGATCGACTAGAGCAAAACGAAAGCAACTAAACAACCACCATAGCTAGAAGTCGGAGATGTAACCAACCGTAAACGTAACACTGCGCCGCTAGGGCACGCAGAAAAGCGGCCTCAAAGCAAGTAACCGTACGGTTGCTGGTGCCTGGCTTGTGCCTTCTGTGCTGTATAATAATATATAATGTGTCACGACACACGACACGACCACACTTCAGGACTGGAAAAAAGTAAAACTTGAAAAGCAAAGAACTACAAACTATAAAAATTAAGGACAGACAAAAAGAGAAGGAAAAAAACTAAAAAGGTAAACAATGCCAACTGTTGTCGTTAGAAGCATGAATCGCTGCCCACACTCAGATTTGAACTGAGGACCTTATCATTGAAGGAATCTCTACTAGTGATACGCTCTACCCCTGAGCCATGCGGGCTTTGTGTTTGTTGATGGAGTCCACCCATGCGGATATTGTCTATGTACTGAATGAATGTAGCAATTGGGTTTGAGGAGCGTGCAAGCCACTCACCAAAAAGCCTCGTCAGATACCGAATAAGGAACAAACCGTGTATTTAAAAAGCAAAACCGTAATAACTAGCCTCTGTGCGCGTATTGAAGAATATTTCTCTCGGCGTCTCAATGGAGATGATATATATATACATGAACGGTTCCAGTGGGGTATAGATGAGTAGAAAAGAATACACACGCAAATATGCTTACAAGGACAGGCTTTCTTCGAATCGCTGAACAAACTTGAGGGTGATGAGCTCCCTAGCAATGCCATGAAGAAAGAAAGATGGCCCATATGCAATGGAAATATCACAGTGATAACTCCACATCCCAAAAACCTTTAGCCGCGAAGCAATCCAACAAGGCCACCGGCACCAAAGGTGGCGGCAATCGTGATGAAGCTTGATGTAGAAAAGAGTGATAGGCCACTGATGCCGTGACCTGAAGTGCAGCCGCCGGCAATTCTCGATCCAAGGATCATAAGGAAGCCGCCAATGCCGGCGTTCAAGGGCGAAATGGTAGTCGGCGAGACTTGGCCGAACACGGGGACGGCGCGGGTCAGGGTGAAGGCACCGGCAATCATGCCCGCCGAGAAGAGCATGTTGTTGTAGCGCTTGGGGGCCCCGCCGTTGCCCCTGCACACACCTAGGAACCAGTCGCCAGCCTCCTCGTACGAAGTTGACGTGCCTACCAGAGATTTTCTCAGGACCACAGACAGCAGCTGGGCCGCGCCGATGCAAAGACCGCCGACGACGGGGGAGATCTTGGTTTCTGGGCCGAGGGGCGTGAACGAAACGGCGGCGCCGATAATGGCGGCAAATATTAGCTCGAGACCGACGAGGGCAGTTGCTCGGCTGACTCCCAGAGTCCCGTAGACAGTCAGGAACTTCTTGTCCTCGGGGGAGGATTGGGGGAGGGGCTTAGGGGTGTGCGACAGATAGGGCTGGAGGAAGCCGGTCCAGACGATGCCGGCCAGGACGGCGCCCTGGAAGGCGTAGAAGCCGGAGCGGACGCCGGCGCCGACCTGGGCCAAGACGGTACCGGGGCAGGCGCCCGACAGCATCATGCCCGTTCCGAGCAGCATGCCGCCGATGACATTACCATCCCACTTGGCGAACAGGCCGACCGAGGAGAAGCTGCGGGGGCTAAGCTTGAGGTAGCCAAGAGATTGCGCAGCCGTAACGATGCATCTGGTTGGTGGCTGGTCAGCGGCAGTGATAACGCGATAGGGGCAACAGGGTGCGAATGTCAACATACGTGCTGGCGGCGGCGGCGGTCAGAAAGGCTTGAATCATATGGAAGTTCTCGAATTTGAGCTGCGACACTATGACGATGGGCTGGAAGACGCCCGAAGCCGTCAACGCGGCACCGAGGGCGGCGCCCGATAGGAGGGAATTCATGATGGGCTCGTTCGTGTCGACAACAGGGGATTTAGGGTTTGCGGGACTGTCTTGAGAGCTTTGCTCTCTAGTCCACCTCTTCGGGATAAGAGAGAACTTGGTGGTTTTTGGTGTCATTCCAAGGCCTGCTGTTTCTTTTTCTTTTCCTTTCTTTTTCTTCAAGCGATAGTTGAATAGAAAGTGCTGCTAAGCCACTTGAAGGATAGCAAGGAAGGACTTTGGATCTCCCATGATGACGGCACCGTCTAGCTCTGCCGTTGCCAAGAGCCTCTGGCTTAAATAACTCGGTATGCGGCGATTTTTTGCAGAGACTTGAGAGGGATGTCCTTGCACGGCCTTGTGTCAATCGTGTTCTAGGCGGGGACCTGGAGACCTTTTGCCAAACGCTAGTGTAGCCCTTCTACTCGTTGTTGGAGGGTTGGGAGACTTTGGCGAGATCATGTGGAAAAGGGCTGGGAAGGCACGAGGAAGGCATGGCGGGCGCGCACTCGCCCACTTTGCGCAGTGGGTGTGTGGTGGGCGTGTGGGCGTGTGTGTGCGTGGGCGTGCGTGTGCATGCGTGCCATTTCGAGGATAATTACGAAATGAAGAGCGGCGGTCCCAGATTCGTGGATTTGGGTTTAGCTTCAGCTTTGGGCGCCTTTGGTGGCGCTCGCCGCTCAACAAGAAAGACGACGGGACGAGGAAGCTCCAGCTTGAGCTTGGTCGGACCCAGGTACCCGGTACTTCTAGACGTTCCTCGGCAAGCAAGCTAATCAAGCCCAAGCGCCATGTTTTCCAGGTTGCGATTTCCTTTTAGGGACAAGACTTTCCAAGGGTCCATCCACATCCGTCACAATCTCCCCACAAATATGGGTAGTCTAACCTGGAATCCAGGGATGTTGGCTCCTTCCTTTCCGTTCTATTTCGACTTCCATCTCGATGTCGCCTTTCGGGCACCAAGCCCGAAAAGCATGGCAGGTTATCACGTTATCAAGGCGCTGCCGCGCTGCGGGCACCTCGTCGGACAGGTCTCTCGTCTCTTCTGCACGGCATTTTGAGATGGGAATATGTACGAGTAACTCGGTTTCCGTTATCGGGCACCTCCAGACTCGACTACGACGCCCAGCACCGACAGATAAATATGCACACTTCCAATACTATTCTAGCCACCCACTTGAACCACGAACAAAGGCAGTGGCCGGCATTTGTATCAATCGCGGGGACCTCCCAGGACCACTAGCTCCATACCTTGCGTTAGGTCCCCCCGTGCTTTACGGAGCAAGGACCTTGGAACAACATGGCTGTGGTCAGTGGTCACCGATGGGTAAGACAGCAAGTACGAATAGTGCCGACATGAAGAGAGAGACAGCTTTCAATTTGACAGAACCTAATATTGTCTCACTTTTGATGTTTGTTTCATATTGTCTCACTTTCCATGTCTTACTTGACGCACATGGCGTGTTTTATTTCCCGGGCCAACCAATTGAACGAGTCTAGATTCTCCCCACGCGGGACCATCCAACTCAGAAGCGATGCAATGTGTTATGGTCGGCGATCTACGGATAAGGATTTACGTGCGCTGTGTGTAGCAGGTACATACTACAACAGATGCCTCAGGCGCCATCTCGGGCTCCCGGAATAAACTGGAGATGGCATCCCGGTCGATTGCTCGCCAACTCCCCGGCGTCACTCCTGCATCGCCTCCCGGGGACCCGCTATTCACTTCCCTACCTCTCCCTGGTCTCGTCGCCGAACAACAAAGCGTGTCGCCGAGCAGCAGCTCTCTCTTGTCCTTGTCACACGGATGGAAGGATCAAATGCTTACCTTGCGGACAGCACAGCGCCCAATACCCATGTTGGTGACTCCATGGGTCGATGCGAGAGAAACCTGCGCAGGCGTTCGTTCTCTGTTCGATCTTTTCGGGGATGCCACGATGGCATTCGGGTAGGGTTCTCCCTGTCGATATCTCGTCATTTGAAAAGGTCTTCCATCATCGCTACGGAGCGTGCCGGGTTGCACGTGTGGCGATTCGGCGAAGTTTCTCAAAGACACTGGAATGCCCAAACTCTAAACGAGCCTTCCTTTGTTACCTTGTCCCATTTGCGGACTTGGTCAGGCGCTTGGCAAGCATGCCTCGCCCTCCTTGCTCTCTCTATGTGCTAGGTGAGGCATGACAGTCGGGCACAATGCAGGTCGGCGACTTGGACGAGATACGCATCCAATCGTGAGAATATTAGGAAAAGGAGGAGTTGCCAGGGCAATGTTCGTCGTCTACTCAGCCTCGTCCACGCAGTAAGCCGACCAAGAGCGATTTCCCCGGACTTGCAAGGACCTGACATCGAGCTGAAGATGCTGGTGTGTATATAATAAGTATTATTGTAAACGAAGGAAGCATTTCCAAACCATGTTGATACCCTCGCAACCTCAGCGTACGCAACAAACATCCCCCTTTCTGAAACACAAACACTCTCGAAATAAGCATGGCTTCCTCTGAACCCATTGTCCACGCGTGCTTCGAGCCGAACACTGGCACCTGGCAATACGTGGTTGCCGACCCTGCCTCCAAAGCTACCGTCATCATCGACCCGGTCCTCGACTTTGACCCGGGCAAAAACGCCATCTCCACCGAGACGGCCGACGGCTTGCTCGCCCTGGTCCGGGAAAAGGGGTACACGGTGGAGCGGCTGCTCGAGACGCATGCACACGCCGACCACCTGACTGCCTCCAAGTACCTGCAGAGCCGGCTGCTGTCGTCCGACTCCAAGCGGCCGCAGGTGTGCATCGGCCGGCGGATCGGCGAGGTCCAGAACCGCTTCGCCAAGCGCTACGGCATCCCACGCGCCGAGTGCGACGGCGCCTTTGACGGGCTCTTGGACGACGACGACGTCTTCCAGGTCGGCCAACTCCAGGCCAAGGCTATTCACCTTCCGGGACATACCCCAGACCATATGGGTTACATGATTGGAGGTAAGGGGCCCTGTAAAACATGCAAATGGTTTCCTACAAGCACCCCCGTTCGCATCCAAGAAGAAGACCTGATCACTCGTGACTACTTGAGAACTATGTCCAATGTCCCCGCCAGCCGAGAGCTAACACCAGCCCCTTGAATCCTACAGCAAACGTATTCTGCGGAGACTCTCTTTTCAACAGCGACGTGGGCTCTGCGCGATGCGACTTCCCCGGCGGCGATGCGCATGAACTGTAAGAAACACATACACCCCCCCACCCCCCCCCCCCCTTCTTTTTTTTCCCCTCAAAGTCCACCACTAACTCCCACACCAACAGCTACAACTCCGTCGCCAAGCTCTTCTCCCTGCCAGCGTACTATAAGATCTGGACGGGTCACGACTACCCGCCGGGCGGGGGCGCGCGCGGCGAGCCGCTGGCGTACATGACGGTGGGCGAGCAGAAGGAACACAACAAGCACCTTGGGGCGGGGACGGCCGAGGACGCATTTGTGAGCTGGCGCGAGGGCCGCGACGCGGCGCTGGCCGAGCCGCGCCTGATGCACCAGGCGCTGCAGTTTAACATCCGCGCCGGCAA